TCTGCCTCTCACTGTATCTGTTGCTCTCGAGTCACTTGCTGTGGCTGTTGATTTGCATGAGTAATCTTTTCATCATGTACGAACACTTCTCTTGCCAAGTATTCGCAGAACTCTACACACTCTTCACTTTCCTTTCTGTACCCCTTGGTATGACATTTTGTCCTCTATTTTAGCGATATACAGAACTCTATACACTGTCACTACTTGTATTCTCTTGAGCAAGATACGAACACAACTTGTAGTGGTGCCAGGAGTACCACTTTGTCCACTGGTACAATGGATGCATGCTGTAAGTGTGCACTGTAATAGGATTATATGTATGATGACTGAGGTGCTTTTGCAACTTATTTAGTTCATTCGTTTTTTCAGTTTTTCAGTGAAGTACCTTGAAGCACAGTCTGAGTAAGCTGTGTCAAGACTCTCTGAATGATGGAGTGAGGATGTGATTGATTGAATGTCAAAGTTTTCATTTAAAGAAGGCTCAATCCTGTTTACCTTGAAAATACTGTACATATTTTGCACACATGCCAATATGCATGCAGGTATTTTTTCATGTTGACTCTGCTTAGCACTGTCACTGTTTAAGGTGTATCTGTGTGGAGTTTACATGTTCTGGGATTTTCTCTGACTATGTTTGCCCTGTGTTAAATTGGTGACCTGCCTCTCACGAAATGCATGATGGGATAGGCTCCAGACCCCAGTGACCCTAAACTAGATTAGCAGTATAGAAATAGGATGGATTGGATTTTGGATTTGCTCATGAATAACTGCATTTGTTATGGCAGCACGTATCAGACAGTAATGCCTTTTAGGAAACAAATGTTATTTGACTGGAAGACAAGTGGTCATCTCAATCCAAGATATTTTGACTCTGTTGTGTTAACAGAAATGTTTAGTAAAGTCCACAATATAATGGACTTTTGATGATTATCTTTAGTGAACATTCAGTGCATACAGTATTAAGATTCCTTCACTTTTTTCACATTCTGTTATATTGCCGCTTTACGCTGAAATTTCATCAATCTACACTCAATACCCCATAATGACAAAGCCAAAACAGAAGATATTAATTAATTAATTAATTAATTAATTGATTTATTAAAATTGAGACAGGGTTTTGTCAAGGCGTCAATCAAATGCAGAAGGCTATAAAAGAATTCAAGGTTCCCAAGAGCACAGTGGCCTCCATTATTCTAAGCTGAAGAAATTTGGAACAACCAGGACTCTTTCTAGAGCTGTCCGCCCAGCCAAAGCGAGCAATCATGTAAGAAGGGCCTTGGTAAGAGAGGTGACCAAGAACCTGATGGTCACTCTTGCTGAGCTCCAGAGATCTTGTTTAGAGATGGGAGAAAGTTTCCAAAAGACAACCTTTACTGCAATGTTAGACAAGATGTAAAACTCTCCTCAGTGAAAGACACATGAACACATGGTGGTGGCAGCATCATGCTGTGGGAAAGTTTTTCAGCATTGGGGACTAGGAGACTGGTCAGGGGTGAGGGAAAGCTAAACGGAGAGCATCCAGGACTGGGCCCACGGTTCACATTCCAACAGTACAATGACCCCAAGCCCACAGCCAAGACAATGCAGGAGTGGCTTAGGGACAACTCTGTGAAGGTCTTTGCCAGAGCCCTGACTTGAACCCAATCAAATAACCTTAAAACGGCTGTCCACCAACGGTCCCCATCCATCCTGACAGAGCATGAGAGGATGTCCAGAGAAGAATGGCAGAAAATCCCCAAATCCAGTTGTGCAAAGCTTGTCATGTCATACCCAAGAACACTTGAGGCTGTTATCACTGCCAAAGGTGTTTCAACTAAGTACTACTGAGTAAAGGATTCAGACCCTTTACTTAGGTCAATATGATATTGAAGTTTTTCTCTTTTATTAAATGCACAAATATTTCTTAAATTTGTGCTGTCATTATGGGGTATTTAGTGTAAATTGATGAGGGGAAAAAATAATTAAAGGATTTTAGCATGAGGCTGAAACATAAGATGTGGAAAAAAAGGTTCTGAATATTTTCGGAATGCACTCTACATCATGCTAGTAAAAATCTTATTTATATATAAACACTTATATGTGGGCCAAACTCTTAGATTTTCAGTGCATACATTTTATAGCAGTTAACATAACTACAACATAATTTCATCTAGCTAGCACAAAATATAAAATAAGAAATTGCTTCCCTAAGACCGACCATGAATTTTTCATTTTGCCTGCGGAATATACATGATTGCAGAAAGTAACACAATTTGGTGGCACTTAACTAGAGGATTATAGCCATCAATATTAGATGAACAAGTTCTCCCCCAAGTTAATGAAATCCTTGGATGTATGCCCACATTAGAAGAAGAGACTGATAAGGGAAGGATTCGATCTCTTGTTCCTTTAATGTGTTTAATGTGAATCGCTACATTGATATTTTAATGGCCCCAAGAAACAAGCACACATTGTGTTTGACCAAACACAAGCTTTAGCCACCTCTACAGTTCAAGTTTTGCTGCTCCTCCTCCTAAGCAGTAGGGGTTATCTGATTCGAAAACCCACTGATAATACTGTAAGCTTGTAAATGTTATTGTTGATACACAATGTTCTAATGAGGGAAAGGTAGAAACAGATTATTAGATTATGATAACTGCAAGTAATAGTAGTATAACACACGCACACATACTAGTAGTGGTGTTACTAGTATTGTTATTTGTGTTAGTTGTAATAGTATGTTGTCCACCGAGGCACTTTTACTGATGAACAGGGATAGAGCATTTCATAGCCTCAGGACAAACACTGTAGAAGTACCATCTCTCATTTTCTTTGTGGTAACTTTGGGGACATTTAGAAGGCAAGCTGCAGAGGACCTAAGGGTATACGTGAGGGGACAGAAAATGATAGACAGTCTGAGATGTAGGGAGGAGTCAAAACACTTAGTGCCTGAAAAACCTTGGAGGGACTGCATTATGTTGTAACCTGCAGCAAAATGTACATTTTTGATGAAAAATTTACTGTGCAGACGCTTCCAATCTCTCTTTTCTTTTATGCCTGTCCTGTTTCAGTCCAACAACTATATATTAAAGTTTTAATTAGCACAACTTCTCCATTGAAGATATATATTAGCAAAGCTCTTTTTTCGTGAGTAGCTGGTACTTATAATAATTTCCTACAAGTTGTTTTTTTTACAAGAGTGTAAATGTTTGTCCTAGATTAATCTTCTTCTTTTCTCTTTAGCTCTCACTGCATGTAATGATGGTCAGTAAAGCTTTTCGGTGTCAAACTATACCAGTGCCTGCCCCGTGAGTACCCAAAGATACCAGTGGTGTAATGAAATGGATGGATGAAAAAATGGATCATATCATCAACAAAATCTCAACCAAGTGGCTATGTGAGAAGTATGGAATGGGAGTTGTCTGGCTTTTTCTCAAAGTTGGAGCTTTGGTGTTAAAAAAATGTTTAGCATTTAGAGTAGAAACATCGTAAGGAATTTCTGGCTCACTCTGACCACTGGAGTGGCTTTTCAGTCTGTTTCCGTTGGTAACAATGAGTCAAATGATGGTTTCCCTGCCTGGTTGTTGTGTGACAGCGTGTGTGTGTATTAATGAAATATGTCCTTTTTCTCTTGTTTTCCTCCAAATCCTTCTTTCCTTATCAGTGCTTTTTTCACACACCTTGTTCAGGTTACACAACATTCCCAGAATCCCATATTGCAGTTCCACACACAATTTCTCCTCACAAATATTGGTTCCATTTCCTGCTCTCTGAAGGCTATTACCATCATTACTAAGGAGCATAAACAAAGATATGGCTTTACTGAATTGTGCTCCCTCAGCCATGTCACCTACTTTCCCTCTTTGTTGCCCTAGTCATTTACTACAGTCATTTACTCCTACCTCCTCTGTAACACAAATACATATAACTGCATTATTATTTGGGAGTAAACTGAGCCAGTTGGTTCTTCCTTATTGTATCACCTTAAAGATGTGCAAAGCACGTGCTGGAAGGAAACATTCAAACTGGAAGGCTTTTTGTAAACAGACATTTATAAATGTACAACATAATGATGTTTTGTTTTCATTAAGAAAACAGGTCATCATCATACACTACGGTAAAGAGTAATAACATATAAATTGGTTCTTCTCATCTGCTAGTGCAATTTGAGTAATGGTGGGTTGTAGCGTGTGCTAATTTAGTCACAGATCAAAGAAATATCTCACCTCAACTTCAGCAGTTGCCTCAGGCTAGAGCATCTCTTCCCTGATTGAGGGTCTCTTCCGACTCACTGAGTCAATACAAATGACTTTAATACTCAAACCATTATTATTTCAAATCATTGTCAAAAAGGCGGGATAAATCATTGACTTATGCCCCGTTAATGTCAGAAAATTGCTCCATGCATTTTGTGTTATTGACAGTTAGGGGCCTGAAAACAAGTAATGCTAATGACATAATCTGGCTGTGACCACACTGTCCCTCCCACCCTTCTCTTGCCTGGTTTAGACAAACAGGCTCATCTGCACTGGATCATTTGCCGTCTCCTGATACGCTGTGGTTTATAGCCAATTATCTCTCGCGAATCATTATTGATTACAGTGTTATCTTTCTTGCATTGCTTAATCTTTTGGCACAGGAACATAGCAGCTCACAGGGGGCCTGAATACAAACTGCTTTGCAATTGGAATACTAACTTAAGAGGGGTGGGTGTTCATTTTCTTGCAAATGGGTACAGTTGAATTTCAGACTGTATTCAGTATCATGGAGGGCAGGGTGGTTTTTCATTTGCAGCTCTTCCTGTTAGGAATTAAAAACCACTACAACAGTCAATTTATCTAAGTGAGTGTTAAACCTTTGATATTAGTCTGAATGACTGATTTCCTCTGAGGTTAATACAATATTGCTTCTATTTGTTTCCTTCTGTGAATCAACATGGCTTATAATAAACCAGCAACGCAATAACAATTTTGACAGAATATTGTGTAACTGATGTTTGTGTGTCTGTCTTGTGTTTCTAGTTGGGTTAATAACTTTGGTCATGAGGGTCTTGGACTTCTTCTGGATGCTTTGGAGAGGCTGCTGGACAAGAAACAGTGAGTGATCTGCTTTCACATCCCATGTCTGTGTCATTTTTATAGTAGCGCGTTCTGTTCTTGTAATCACCATATCTTTTTCAATTTGTTTTTTAGGCAAGAGAATATTGATAAACGGAACCAGCATAAACTTATCCAATGCTTGAAGGCTTTCATGAACAATAAGGTTGGTAAGAGTCGACGAAGAGAAGATGATCCATCCAGTCGATTAATTAGATAATGATCTCTTTTAATGTCTGCGTAGTGAAATGATATTGCACCGGTGCCATCCTAAATGACCTGAAATGATTCGAAAAGAGTTAGTGCCCTGAAATTTTTATTTCATTTGAATTCACTAACGCAAGCAAAGGTAATGTTTAATGTTTTTGTTACCCATTAAATAACAAGGCCACTCTGTGTACACTTATAGTAGACATCTTAGAAGTTATTAGAAATTTCTACTAGTGCTTCAGATGGCTGGGATTCTAAACATTTGAATCTGGACTCTGACAAGCCTGCGATAATGGGACAGAAAATGCCATTTCTAGCCCACAGTCTCAGATCTTTTAATTATCCTTTTTGGGAAAGTCTGGCTCATTTCTCAAAAGTGACACACATTTCAAGGATAGATGAACTATTGATATTGCTTCTCTTAGAGTTAATCCCCACACGTGGTCATCTTTACCTGTTCCTTCAGTTGTGAGGAGACTAAAAGGTACAGGAGACTATAAGTATTTGTCCCTATAGTCCTGTCCTGAATTGAATTAATTCATCATCCTCTCCACTTTCTCCCATGGCCTCGTTGTCCCTGCTTAAAAGAAAATTAAGGCTAACTATAACTTACGTACATTAGAGCTTCTTTGTATAATTCATTTTTTACTCAAAGTGAAAGTTCTCCATGAATGCAAATGTTCTCATTAATTTATACCCAATGGACTTTTTTTCCTCTGTCCTACCTCCTCCCTTCCATGTTTCACAGTATGGACTGCAAAGGATCTTGGGAGATGAGCGGAGCCTGTTGCTGCTGGCACGAGCGATTGACCCCAAACAAACCAACATGATGACCGAGATTGTCAAAATTCTCTCTGCCTTCTGTATTATTGGAGAGGAAAACATGTAAGTGTAACTCACTTCGCCTGATCATTTGTCCCATTTCTTTCCTCACATCTTGCTCTTGCACACTTTTTCATGTTTTGCATATCATTAAAGAGACATTTGTACAGTAGATAGACCATCATATTCCCATTCTCCAACATTTATATGATCTCAGGAGCTTTGATTTTATTTCCAGCTTTGTATGTTTTGAGATATTTTTCACTGAGACTTAAATAAAATTCCATTTGTGGTCTTTAAAGCATGGGAAAACAAACAAAACTGACAAAAATCAGTTTAATCCACAGACCTTGCTTTTGAGTGTTTTTTTTATAACTGTTTTGATCTTGAAACATTGTCCAGACATTTCAGGGACATATAGCTCAAAACCCTTACAAATTAAACTCGAGGTATTTGCTTGATAGATACCTCTTTGGGTAAGTGGAAAAATTTATTTATTTTTTGATATGAGTGAACTAACCCTTTTGCGTAGCCTCTATTTAAATTAATAAGTGAGTTTTCAGTATTCAAAGTTGAGTGAGGGACACATTTCTCCATTTTTTTCAGTAAATAACATTATACAATTATACAATAACAATTTCAAAATCCTGACTAATGACAAAAAGTAATGATGAAAGGGATTCGGTCCATCTCTGCTATGTTTACACTCTGTAATGTTTCTGAGACAGCAATAGGGATGGCTGCACCTTGTAAACACTGGAATATCACTAATGCCTTTGTCTTTTCCCGCTGGGTGGCATGTACTATATATATATTATATATATATATATACTGTATATATACACATATATTTATATATTGACACACACACACACACAGATTTCACCACCGGCATACATCTGTACTCACTGTGTACATATGGTGCAGTTACAGATGACCTCAGACGGTACAGAAACCTACTGGGTCACATGGTCAGATGATGCAGTTTAGTCTGTTTAATGTGTTGAACTACTCAGTGTAGTTTGCCACAGATACACAACCTGGCTGACAGCTTATAAATTGGATTTAGGGGAGTGTTTTTTATTGTTTCCCTCAGGGCCAGACTAGAATAACAATGGCACTTCAAAGTCAGTCTGTATGCAGTGGTGGAAATAAACAAACCCACAAATTCTGTTGGAGAAGCTGAGTTCAGCAGTGTGTCTCTACGTCTCTGACCATCCAAATAGGCCTTGATGCTTGTAGTTCTGAAGTTCTGACCCTCACTGTGCATGGTTCCCAAAATAGTTTTGAAGTTAAAGAATATCAAGGAGTGAAAATCTTTGTCCTAACAGTAATTTAATCCAATAAATTTATAATTTCTGGTAAATCACTTCAAAACCATTTTATTGGTTTACATTTATTGGTTTTATTGATTCCATTCAATTTCTAAAAATCACAGTTATATTCAGTAACTGCTCCTAAAATGTATATCCATTAAACTGATGTTTACGATAGTGTGAGAATATTCTTAACAGAAAATATACAGCACAATTCAGCATTTTCACTGAAAAGCATAAATTTATGTAAATATCCCATGATTGTGATATTGTGTGTTAATTGTATGAGGTAATAATAGACTTTCTTCACTGCAGACTGCATGACCTGTCATAGCAGAAAAGCATAGGTGAAGCTAATACAATAAACAATGGGTTTGTTTAAGTATTCCCATAAGCCACATGAGTGAACCAGTGTGCACAATACCTGGTCGGCCCTTGAAGTGACATGTGCTTTTCATGTGCTTTTCCCAGTGTGTAGAGGACGTGTTTTTGGGTCAAACAAGTTAGCCATGGGTAGCAAAAGCTGCCGCATCCTCTAAAGAAGACAGGTGATTACTTCAGTGGCTTTTTGGAAGTGGTATTCCAGTTTTGCGAAGTTAATACAGTTTTATCAAGCTAGTTCTTGTTCGGGAAGTTGAATCACAGCATTTTAAAATAGATTATTGCTGATGTCAGCTTGTATATACATAAATATGTTGATGAATTGATGCAATGAATTAATAATTAGACATAATAATTAGCATGTGGACACAATAACTATTTTTAAACAGACACACACTCTCTCTCTGTCTCTCTCTCTCTCTCTCTCTCTCTCTCTCTCTCTCTCTCTCTCTCTCTCTCTCTCACTTCACTCTCAAAGTGATCAAGAAAAGTAAATATGGAGATCTCTGCCATGATCATAGAAAAAAAATGTACATATCCTGTAGAAGTGACAGCCAAAGGAGCTGAGCCGTCACTTTCTTGCTCAGAAACTTCTCTGCCAACCAATGTTGTGACGCTGACTCATGTTCAACACCCACTTCAGCTGACAGCATCAAAAGGGAACACGACAAGTTAAGCAGATCTATCTTGCCTGTTTTGAAGCGTCGTCTGAACTGGCTTTAAAGCTACTCAGTATGCAGCTCCCCTTGCTTGTCTGTGACTTTCTAACCCCTATCACAGAGTATGGCCATTCAATTTATCTCTCCGTCAGGCTTACTCCACACATACAGTCCTATTGGTCTCAGACAGATGATCTCCCTCACTCACTAAGGAATGCTAGTATTTTGACATCTTCAAAGTGTTATATTTTGGCATGATATAAGATAATAAAAATGGCAACAGCCTTGGTGGCATGTGTGATAACACATGTTCACACATACATAAACTGGTATTTTAGCATTTGGCCTAGTGTGACTATTGATTTGTTTCTTAACTTATTTATTGTAACAGCGAGAGGAACTTGTATATCAGGCGAGAGGCAAGAGAGTAGGATGGTTGAGGACAGGGAGTTAAGCTGTTCAGTTTCTCAACTGATGAAAGCAAAACAGCAAATGTGGCCCTTCCCTGCAGTCATAGAGAGGCCACCTGTTACCAGTTATTATGTAGGCATATTGTAAATCACTGTTTATGTAAGTGCTCATAAGACATCAATTTACTTTTATTGCAGTCCTCTGTGTGTGTTTCCATGTGTGTAGCACAAACTTTCTTTTTCATTCACAAGTCAGAGGCTTAAATTGTCCAATGTTCTATTTAGCCAAGTTGCCTTGAGCCCTTGCAAGTACTCTAATTTGCTTACCTTCTCAATAGGTGTATTTGCACATTAGTCTGGCAGTCCCTGCAATAATTTGCACCCTTTTTTCACCGAGCCAAATACTCTCTACCACAATTGCTTTGACAAGTGAACACATTTGAAGTAAAACGCTGTTTTTGTCTAGCATCACCTTAGTAACAAGCATGATGAAGTCAAAATTGGATACTGCTGCAATAATAGACCAGAATGCATACAAAGAGATGGAAAGCAGCAGCATTTGTCAGGGTGACCAAAGACTGGCGGAGTAAATGTCCACACCAACACACAAGGGAAGATAAGATACATGGTGTTTGAGCTGAAAATTGTGAGTAAATGTCCTGTCAGTGAGGTGATAAAAGTGTTTGTTGACTTTTTTGTTTGCCTGCTCCCTGCTCTCTGTTGTCTTCCAGCCTGGATAAGATTCTCGCTGCCATGACAATTGCTGCAGAGAGGAACAATAAAGAGAGATTTGCTTCAATTGTGGAAGGACTGGAGAACCACGAAGCCCAGCAACTCCAGGTTAGGAATTGCACACCAAGAAGCAATTAACATCACTCTTTAATAATCATCATTCATTCATCACTACCCTCTTAGTAGATTATTTCCTTTGAACTGTAAACTTCATGGTTTAGTGGCCAATCCAGTGATCAATACAATAACCACCTATGTTATCTTATCATACTGATCTTAATTCAGTATTATTCTGTGAAATACTTTCTTACTTAAATAGTCATACACACTAATTCATACTGGCCACAGTGGGCAGAAACCTGGCACAGTCCAGTGTCATTCAGATGAACTGTTTTGCCTAGAAACCCACGTTTGATGCCAGGCAAGACGGAAATTGACAGTTGTCACTCTGGGACCTCAGCCTCAACTGTCTCCTTACATGCGTTTTTCTCTGCCTCTCTTCGTGCCGTAGCGGCCGCTTGTCAACCCTACAACACCTCTAGCACATGATGTGATCATGGGGCTATTGAAATGCATCCTGAGCTCCATCGCCACTGCTTTAATCAAAAACACCTGCTTCATTGAGCACCTCTACTGAACTACCCCATTCTTTTTGCAAACACCAGAAAAATGATAATAAAAAAGCAGAGATGTTGATTTCCTATAAGCTTTATGTCTTTTTTCGTTCTTTCTCACATTTTTCCTCCTCTTACTGCCTTGCTCATTTTTGTCACATCTTACAAATTCCTCTCCTTGCTTTTTTCTATGCTGCAGTGAAGTTGGGTCTCAGAGGACTTGGTGGGAAAGGGCAACTGCAGCACCATACCTCTCCTCATTTTCATTAGTATTCTTCAACAGCAGGGAAAACTATACAACAGCAATAAAAACCCCACTTAAAACATGTTTTTGTGAAACCAAAAGTAGGGAATTACGAAAGGAATTACTTTTTTAACTGCAGGGATTGGGAAGTCATGAAGGAAAAGTCATGAAGGAAACTGATGAGGCGGGTGGCGCAAGAGAAAGTAGATATTCTTTTATTAGGAGGCTGTTGTTTTTCCTTTAAATTTTGCTGTTAATGAAATGAAGCTCTGCTAATTGTGAAGTAAATTAAAATGCTTTGCTGATGCAGGGGGCTCAAGGAAATTAATTGACTTTTTATCCAAAACCTGTGATGGGCTGTAGAACTAGACTTTGCTAATGTGATTAAAATGTGTTTTGCTGTAGTTCAGGCTATGCTTGTCTGCTGAGCACGAAAGAAACTCAGCATTTCAACATTAAAACCGTCCCAGCAGTGCCACTTTTAATTACAATGTTTAGAAACCCCCCCCCATGGCACTGCTGCAGCTCTGTAAACCTACACAGATAATGCCCTCACCTCCAACCCATCCACTTCCCACTCCCGTATATATGACTGAGGTATGTTTGAGGTATGTTTGAGGTGCTTGTAAGTATCCATCTGTATGCAGGAGAAGAGAAAGAATTTTTCATGAGCTCCATGGCTTTCTTCACTCTCATAAATTCTGTGAAGATTTGGTAGAGTTTCTTTTATGTTTCTGGCCTCTGGTGGATACAGTAAAATGTCAGGTTTCAGTGCACAGATCTTGCTTAGAAGCCCTCATGCCTTTCTGAAGCATGGAGAAGTTGGCCATGTTTTGGGAGCGTGGCACAAGTGGTACATGCTCAGTGGCAGGGCGTCCTTTACTCTATCAAGCCTGTACTTTCCCAAGAGATTATACAGTATCCTATATCTGTATGGCATAACATCATGCATTTTATCCCCATAACTGGCTAACACACACACTGCTGCTATAACTTCACAGTAGCAGAAAAACAAACCAGTGCACTCCAGATAGCTTTTGCTCATCTTTTCACAAGGCAGAAATTCAGAAAGCAGATATGGTGTATTTGCTAGTATCTTGTGTCAAGTAATTTGTTCAGATAGCACTAGATGGGATGATCTGCTGTTGTGGGTTTATTTCCCTTAATGCAGGTGTATCTGCATGTTTGAGATTTTGTTGAAACTATTAAGCAAGAATATGTTCGAATCGAAATTCTAAGCCTAACTCTAACACAGAAAAATAATCTGACAGAGGAAACCACACAGAATCAGCATTGTTGTGGCTCTTATTAATAACACATACAAGCCAACAGCACAGGGTCAAGGTTTCAGAAGACATTTCACATTGTCCATGGGAATCCTTCAGCCTGCTATCGATTGTCTGTCCAAGGAAGACTGTGTTATCCATGGTTTGCTCCCCTGAAACATTTTCCTGCTCATTATAATTCATCAGCAATTTCCTCTTAACCCCATCCTCTACCGAACATACACACAGAAACACACACACATACTTAGAGGCTTTTTCCTTTCCAATAAATCCATTAATAATACACATCTAGTCAATAGACACACCAGACCTTTACTTTCTACGGTTTCTCTTCTGGTCTCTCTCGCTCCATCAATACAATCATTTTTCTGTGATTTTGGTTTTGGAAAAGAAATATTGAGAGCAAATAATCACTCCAAAACACACATTTATTTTTCTGAGACCAAACACACAATCTACAATGAAATTATTTAATATTGTATTAATATGTTTTATTTCTCATTTATTTTCTTATTTCCCAACCCTCTTTCTCTGTTTGTGTTTTTGTCTGTCTTCTCCACAGGTTGCTTGCATGCAGCTGATCAATGCTTTGGTCACGTCCCCTGATGACCTCGACTTCCGGATACATCTGCGCAATGAGTTCTTGAGATGTGGCCTCAAGAAGATCCTGCCGGTGAGTTATCAGACCAAATAATCCAGGTGTAGAATTAAACCCTCTTCACAAGATTCAAGAACTGGTAGCTTCGTTAGTGACTTAAAATCACAAAGAACAACAGACATATATAAGGATAGGTTTTATTATAATTAATTTAATTAGTAGTTATAGTAGTGGTATAATTAGTAGTGGTTGTAGCTTATGTCAAGTGTCATGCATTGCTAGCACTGCATCGCACAGGTCGTCCTGGCATCATTATCAGGGAGCTTACACTTCTTCACATGAGGCGAAGGCAGACAAGCTCCAACTCATCACTCAAGCTCTAGTTTGTAGCGCGTGGGGTGAACATGTCAAAGAGCCAGTTGCTAATAAGTCATCCCAGCTGCTCCTGTTGATTATTACTGTCATTACTTTAATTATCTTCAATTCTGCCCCCTGATATGAAAGAGTCTCAGTGTACAATCATTTATGAATGTTCAAGGCTTTTAATGCCGACATTCAAACTGACACGCTTTCATCTAATTATGAGTTACACTCAGGAGTCACTGTAAAAAAAAAAAGTGAACTCTACTGAAAAAGGAAGCCCAATTTGTTTTGTTCTTGTAGTCCTTGACGCATACATTTGGACCTCCTCCTCTTCTCTTTCTCTCCTTTTTCGTGCACCTCCCTCTGAACCAGTGTTGCTTAAGACAGATGGTGCACCCAAAAAGCGGTGCAGTGTGATTGATACCTGCAGAAATTGGGTTACATTTGGCCCTGTCTCCATCTGTAAACTCCACTGCCGGTGATTCATAGAGAAGTGGTAAAGAGCACCCCCATAGCCCCTCATGACTGGAACAGGTGTGTAGGAATAAGTACTGTCTGGGATGCGTGGTGAAAGGTTTTAGGGCATTTCAGTTCCCAGCTCTCTGTACAGCTGGAGCAGGGAAACCAATATTCTCATACAGATTTTTAGGTATGTCTGGTTAACAGTAACATACAGTACAAGTCTGATGAGATTCAACAATACAAAGACTAGAGTAGTAAATCTTTAGGAGCTATATCTAAATTATTTTGTGCAGGTGCTGTGACTGTTTTTCATAATCTACACTGCGAGATTACCTTTTGTTCAACTTTACATTCTCAGCTATCTGCTATGTGTCTAATTTCTTTTTAGGAGCTAAAAGAGACAGAGGAGCTGGACATCCAGCTGAAGGTGTTCAATGAGAACAAGGAGGAGGACTCTATTGAACTCTCCCACCGCCTGGACGACATCCGTGCTGAGATGGAATATCCTTTGTACTCCCTATGTGTGAATATACAGATGAATAGGCCCTCAGAACTAGCAGTGAGAGATGAGTGTAGATTGTGGGTTTCGTCAAGCTTTACAGTCTAAAGCCCCTCATGGCTTGATTCATTAGAGAAGGATTTGAGGAGCCAGAGCACAATATCCAACTCCATCTCTGACCAGGTATACTAGGTAAATAACCCTATCATCTTAACATCCCACCTCTACTCTTCTTTTTATTTACTCTTCCCATCCTCTCCATCTCCTCTCATCTCCTCCTCACTTTTTGTTCCTGTCCATTAAAATTGGGTTAAGTAGGACTTCTGCAAGACACGAGGAAGATATCAAACAGACATATGCTTTCTTGTTCTTACCATTTATTATGCATAGTAGACAATTAAATATTTTTATGTGCAGCAATATTGTACTTCATGGTCAAGGTTTCTTCAGTATAAGTACTATCACTCCTTGTCTCTCTGCCCCATTTAGGAAATGTGAATTTTCTTCTCCATCTCTCTACCAATGGCCATTTAACTCCAAACATGCAGAGTAGAAGTTAATAAGGTGAGCAGTAATTTAGTCTCAGTTGGAAACTTCTTCAAGCATCCTGCAGAAGAACCTTTAATAATTCACAAATCTTCTCTAAGGCTATGTATGAATGGCTGACATTGTGAGCCGACAAACCAGACGCTGACATTGTTATGCAGATGTTCATTCTCACAACCTTTTCTTTCACCAAATCCCACAGTTCTAGCACGGGCACAAAGTGCTGCTGTGAGTGACAGTTTCTGTTGACACATGTAGTTGAGGGGAGGAGGTTGTGTATGTGTGTAGAGAGAAGATGGAGAGAGAAAAAAATGCACCTGGATTAATGATGTGCTTGAGCAGGTTCACAAATGAGAAGGCCAATGTTTGTTTCCAAGGACAATGCGGTATTGATCTGTGAGTTCTGAGCATGATTCGAATGTCTAGGCTATCCTTTGTCCCTTTGCCTGCATAGCGCGCATGCACACACACACACACACACACACACACACACACACACTCACACTCACACACACACACATATATGCATAATATCACGCAGGTAGTACTTCTACTACCTGAGCATTGCATATGTGTCTTGTTTCTTCCAGCAGTTTCATGAATATTAACCTGGAGAGGCTAGTCTCCTCTGTGTCCGGCCTAGGTCCAGGTGCTGAGGAGGTGACTCCAGGCCACTAATGAATATTAATGAGCTGTGGAATGGTGATTGATTGACCTCACCACTGACTGGCCTACATCACACTTGACTGCCGCTCATGTTTATTCATTATTTGGAGATAGAGTGTAAAGAGAGATAGACAGAGAGAGAGCAAGCAAGCGTAGAGGGGGTGTCATCGAATGGATTGGCATTCTACATTAGGTTTATGTCTGCAGCTTAGTGATAGATGAAGCTAGTTGGATACTTTCCCAGTCTGAGCTCCTTCTCATGTCCTCTCAAATGCTGCTGTGGTGATGCTATAATTGAATCTCGCAGGATTGGTAATTCTCCCAGGCTTCATACTCAGCTAATACAAGGGAGGGAAATGATACTTTAGAGGAGCCTTATTCCCATCCCTCTCTCTAAAAATTTGATATGGGATAGGAGTTTAATTACAGACATTGTTGAAATTAATAGGAAAAGTGTCAAACTGTATTTAAAAGAATCGATCTGCTCCAATTGCTGCGGTTGCTTTGTTTTGTATGGATGATAGCATGAGAAATGGAGAATGCAGTTCAGTGCTGTTTAAAAAAATATCTGATATATTTCGATACTCTCAAAGAATCATTGTTCATTAGCAGCTGATGACACCTGACATAATAATATGAAATAATGTTGACCCCTCTTTAATTTAATTGATGCTTAGGATTCCTAACATTAGCTATATATATATGTAGCTATAATCAGCCTATACAACACGCTTATATTTTCTAGTAGAAATATTACTGTTGCTCTGGTGATCTGTTTAGCCTCAATTTGGCTTTAATTTTATCTGGATCCTTAAGATCATCCACATCCATGTGCATTGCACTGATGTTTTCTGTGCCAAAAGCAGAAGGGAGGAGAGTCACAACATATCCTGCCACTGTGTTGAAAATGCCACTTCATCGCTTTGCAGTCAGTATGTTGAACTATGTAAATATTTTAGCACACATTGTCAAGATTCACACTTCGTGTTATGATTGCAATCCAGTTTTCATCTCTGTGAGCTTAACAGTGCACTATCTCCTTAGTTTTGTTTTTTTCTGCATGTGTGCACATATCTGAGAGGCTTATTCCACTTTTTCAAACAAGATGAGTCTCCGTGGGGAAATCCTCCTTTCTCAAGCAAACAAATTAAATGAGCTCCAAATCATTCATTTTCCGGGGTTCTTTACTTCTTAGAGCTACACTTTTACAACACTAGTAGAAGTTTGAGAAACATTAGTTGGTTATTTTCTTTTCTTTTCGTTTCAATATTGTACTACAAATCGACCATTAACAGAAATTTGAGTTTGAAATGTGACTCAATGTACGTGCTTATCCTGTCCTAAACTATATGTGAAGTTGTTCTTACATTTCAAAGATTTTTCTGTTCTTTGAATAAGAAGCATTTTTAATAAATACTTTCTAAAACATATACTTAGCAAATAATCAAGAAATATGTATAGTACATAATGGAAGAATAACAAGTAAGACAGTTGGATTTAACATCTCTTTTAGATGTCAAAGCCATCTCTACTTCCTCCTGGGGAAAGCAAACCTAAGACACATAATCAATACCTTTTGCAAATTTAATAACATGAATTTTCACTCCTGAGTACATGTCAGTTTCAATCTGAGAACTGAATCGCAGCCCTGCGAATGTTCAGCTCCCCATCATTCTTGTCTCAAACATTCAAACCAGTGAGTTTTTCATGTAATTAATTTCCACTATCTTGAAAGGTTCGGAGTGACAGGTAAACCGGAGGGAGAATTCTTTATTGCCAATCCCCCTCCTCAAGTTAGTTGTTTACACTGTTTTAGCTCCCCTGAGAGAGAGTGGATAAGAGGAATCACATCTCCGTTTGTTTTTGCACAATGATGCTTGTCAAAAAACCTGAAGTGAGGAACTGGGGAAAAAAATAAAATGTTATAAAGAAAAAAGAACTAATACAAATTTAAATGTTTACAGGAGTTAAATGCACCTAATAAGTGAACTCAGATTGGGTGTCTTCTTAAGAAGTTACCTTAGCTGTTAACTTAATTAACTTAGAAACCTAAAAGTAAGTAACTCTGTCATACTGTAAAATTGTTTTCCTTAACCTTGCTGCTGTACTGATATGAATGAAGTGTACCATCTCCTGTCCAATATGGTGAAAGACACGGGCTCAGAGACATACTTCCTGTCAATCCTTCAACACCTATTGCTCATCAGGAATGACTATTATATCAGGTAAGTTCTGTGTGATTTTGACATACCACTGGCCTTGTATCATCTGCATCTAACTCATGATGCTGTACTCTGTCAGTGTGCTTCACTACTCTAAGCTTTTGAATTTTTTCGTGTCTGTTTTTCACATTAGATATCAACACCTCATACATAGCTCTTGTTCTTTCCTGACAGGAAATAGTTATTGTCTCTGTTGTATATATATATATGTATATCTTGAAAAGAAAAAGCCAAGTTGAAATTTGTTATGTACATGAAAGGAGCTACATCCAACCTAATCCTCAGTGGTTAAGACAACAGCACCGTCATCTCCATCAATTTTATTCACTAAAGTTGTTCTAATAATTGGCCTATCAGCCTTGTAGTCACCACTAGGTGGTAATGCAGTTTATAGGAATGACATGCTGTTCCAAGATTATTTGCCCATCTCTAGTCTGCAGGCTAGAATTGAAGATGAGCACAAAGTGTCATAAAATAACTCCACACTTTATCTTGTATGGCGGAATTGCTTCACTTACCTCTGTGCGTTAAATGCTAACTCACCTCTATGTTTCCAACACTAAAGAGGAAAAATGTAAATTATCAGAGTAGGAATATTACTTTATTTAGAATTATTACATAATTTAAAACTGCTGGGTTAGCTCTCTACTTTGTCTTTGAAGCGCAAACATGTCAGTCATTGGCAGGACCGCTGCCACTCTTCTGAATGGAGTGACACTGATGAATTCACTGCTGTGTCAGACCTTTTTGCAGAAATAAGACATAAAAAAAATAAAGTTGGAAGTCGAAGGGAGGATGAGAGGAGGAAGATGAATATACCATAGACAAGTTGCTGTTCCCTTGGATTTATGAATAATGTATTCCTCATCTATTCGGAAGAGGCGAGAAATAGAATTCACATTAACCAGCTAGAACAGCCACGTCCACCTCAGCTCCAGTATCCATATACCCCTCTGTAAGCCAGCAATAAGAAGGGATCAGTACCAGTGCCTATGGAAGAACTGATGGTCTTTTTAAAGATATGTTTTTGAAATATCTTTTTCCTCCGGCCTCCATCACAATTGCAAAGACAAACCCACACATGTACGCACAGAAGCGCCAGACACCAGAAATACATTCTGACTGAGGCATTTTATTCCCCATACATCACTGCTGTGGAGTTATAATGATGGAAGATTCAGTACTACAGTACATACAGCTACTCCAATAGATAGTCTCTGTTTTAATGTCGTGGTACAAATTGGGATAATGGGAAATAGTGTAGGATAAACATAGTATTTCCACAACATTAAACAAAAAGGAATTGGCAGGTCAGACAATGTGTGGTAGCAATGCATGGTTCTACTAGAAATCATTTAATGGTGGCAGTTTTAAGGTTAAGTAGTATTATATAAAAGTGTGACAGACTTTGGCTTTGTGATCAAAGGAATGCATGTGTACTCATCATATTCTACCTGAAGTAAAGGATTAAGTTGTTTTTTATTATTGTATTTATTGGAACTGATAGCACATGTGGTGTCTTGATTCTTGTGTCAAATAATAGTCCATTCAATGATCGTTCATTAAATATTATAATTAGTATTCTAATAATAAGGTGTTCTACAGTGGGCAGACTTTTCAAGTGCTCTTGTCTACTGTCATTGCTCCTAACACAACATCAGTTGTTGCTCTCCCCTCCAGGGCTTGGTTTATTTTTGATAATTAATCTCTCACTGCAAGCCTAATGAATGGGAGCACATCAAACCCACCCAGTAAATATAGAGCAGATCTGCTCTTTTGGAGCTTGGTGATATGGGGATTACACTGGTTATGTGGAGCAGAGCTGGATCAAGTGGCTGGGGTTGTGCTGAACTGCAAGCTATCATTGGAAGAAATGAAGGTGCCAAAGTAAAAGAAGAGGTGGGGAATGATGCAGGGGACATATGCTAGCTTCTGGAGCCCAGCCTTGCCCACTGTGGAGGGGCCTGACAGTTCTGGGTCACTCTCTCCATCTCTAGTTATCTCCACCCAGCCCCTATCTGCTTGGTGGTGGCGGAGGATGGAGGACGAAGGGAAAATAGGGCGGCTTATTGAGATAATAATGTGGTGTACATTGGTGACAGTTGTAAGCCGAGTGCCACAGTGCTTAAGCCATGCAGGGCGATGTGTGAGCTTTCACTAGCTTGTTCCAGTCATGAGTGGGCGAATCCGCCAGCTCAAGCTTAATGTATGGCATTTCATGCTTTCAAAACAGTGCACCTAAATGCTGATTTATTCTTATTTGCTTTGGCTCAGAATTTTGTGTTCTTTCATATTCCTGTTCATAACATGATGTGGCCTGTCCACCCACAAGGTACCAACAGAACATAGCCTTTAAATTTATGGGCAACAGTTTGAGTCAAAGCCTTGGAAATGAACTTGATTCCATTTAATGTTTGATAATAACAAGTTGCTGTGAATCGTGTTACTTTTTACTCAGACTCATACTTGGATATATGTGCTTTTTTAGGTCTCACTCAAAATTAACCCAGCTGGCACAGGCACGTTGTTCACAGTCTTGCCTTCTCAAATCAATTATTATATTTTAGTAACATTAATGCTCCTTCCCCTTAATGCCTTTATGCAGACACGTTCGACAGGCAGGCTTTGATCAGACTTTGAATTTCTTATCTTGACCAAGGTTGTCACAAAATCTCTTTTCCTCATCTCTGATTTTCAGTATTCATTTTATAAATCAATTGGACAATATCAGGAAGCTAAAAATACTTTAACTGTAGCAGTTTTACTATACACAGACTTGTGAATCTTTCAGAGTTGAAATTGAGATGTAAAATTATGTCAAAACACGAGTTTGCAAAGATACAATTTTTTTTTTTTTTTTTTTTTAAATGAAAATAATTTCTTTAAATTAAAGGAACATCATCTGCTAGTGAAAGCATATTTGAAGTGTTGTATGGTATATTTGTGCTTTGGGACTCAGAAGAACATAGCCTCCACTGTGTGCTCACTAGGAAACTGTTTGCTATTTAAAAAGGAGATGAAAGGAGCTGATGTGATTATTGAATCAGAAGGCTGTCCCTGCTCCAGCTGCTGATGCTGTATTCCTCCTACTAGTAATGTATTCATCCCACTGCACCCTTATTCCAGACTTCACAGCGCTGTGACGACCAGAATTGCAATTGCCCAGCCGTTAAGCAAATTGCAACAATTAGTTGGTCACACCCACATGCACTTGCTCATGGAGTTTGTTGTTCTGAGTTTAGGGAAATGTTCTTTTATAAATTTTCAGGGCATTATTCAAGAAGGTCATCAAGGGTAAATTTTCCACATGTAGTACCTAAATTCAAATCTCAATTTGCAAGAAATGGAGCATGAGTCTTTAGAGGAATAAAAAACTAGTTGTTTCTGTTGAGTATTTAAACATAAACTTCTGGTCTATGTCATTCTTAGAAAATAATTATTTCTCAGTTTGGAGCTCAGCTTAAGATGGCATTGTATTTACTAAATGTCACTTGCAATTTAAGTTGATAATGTTACTGGGAAAAGGTCACATACCAACCTGTGTGGTGGAATGGAAGTCGCAGGCTGATCCACACACCCTGCTCGACAACACCAAGCACTCAGTCACACTCCTAACTGGCTGACATGTTTTCCCGGTCATTGTGCTTTCAATTACACACATTACACTGATTAGATTTACATTTCAGTTTTTATGGTTGCTCTAATTGGCAAAGATGATTGCAAATTAGGCAAGAGGGCAAGCACAGCCTTGGCTACCGTCTGTCACCTTGAAATGGACGGACTAACATAGACTTGGGTTCCGTGTGCCCATTAATCTGCTAATTTCATGATGGGGGTGAAGCAAGTGATCAAATTTAATAGGGTGTCTATTTTCTCCAGCAGTACCCTTTTTGGCGTGGCATTTTGTGACCTCTAGCTTGGATAAGGGAATAATTTGTGGTTAATTAGCCTTGTAGAGTTGTGTCACTCATATCTTTCTGTGGCTTCTCTAATTGTTCTGCTTTATGTTTCCTCACCCTCAGGCCTCAATATTACAAGGTAATCGAAGAGTGCGTGTCTCAGGTGGTCCTGCATCGCAATGGGATGGACCCTGACTTTGGCTACAGTAAAAGATTGGACGTGGACTTCACCCATCTGATTGGTACTTTTTGAATTGCTTGACATTAACCCTCTCATTAATTTAATACATGTGAAATTCACCTACCTCAAAAAACACCTATGTCTTGACATATGAGATGCGGTCATCTAATGATCGATGAACAAAACATTTTATCTATGAATTGCGTTAACTCAGAATAATTTCAAAAGTTGTTTTTTGCAGTTAGGGTATTTGTCAGCTGTGTTCCTGGAATCATAGAGAAAACATCTATTTACACTGCATTACTAATGGAATTTTTTTTTTTCAAACAGAAAAGAAATAAATAACACCACTGTTTCTCTCTCTGTTGTGTCACTAACAGTTCTGTGACTTGCCAACAAAGGGTCATTAAAAGTTTCTAAACCTATCCTCAGAGAACTGATGCTGTGTTTAATAAGTTTCCTCACTCACTTTACTGAGATTTAATCAGTTGTTAAAAAACTTCCAAGGTTTTTTTTTTGTTAAATTCTCACTAAAGACACGTGGAATTAAATGGCACATCCACGTGGGGTTTCCACCTATTTCTCTGTTTTTTTTTTTTTTTTACTATTTCACTTTCACATTAGGGGGCCCTTTTCTAAAAACAGTTATTTTTCAGAGATGTGTTGCGTGTGATCTAACAGTAATTTACACTTAAAACTTGCACTGACACCGTCCCTTCGATGATTCATCCTCGGGGTAATTCTAAAATATGAGATTTGTAAATTCATTCAAATAAAGCTGAACAATAGAAACACACAAAATATTTGAAAAGCAGTAAAGAAAACAAAGTAAAATAGCAAAAACATGCAAATTTTTTGATTTGGTCCGATACATGGGCTCTAACTGATATCTCTCTTGTTTGAAACACTCACCCTCGAGTAAAAGATAATACCTCACAATTTTTTGGTGATGATTTCTGTTAATTAAACACAGTTCTCTCCGTGAGAGGAGGATGAAGGGAAGAGGAGTGTAAGAGATTAGAACATCAGCATGAGCCAAGGGTTGCCCAGTATGACTGATTTCACTGTATATGAGGCAGTTATTGAACACATCATGAGAACACTTTCCCTTCTTGTCCCTTCCTCACAAGATCAAGAAAAACAGTTCAACAAAGCTGCCCATTTTGTGTATTGTCTCCTTTTTCCCTCACACATTTTAATTTTAATTTTTCATTTATTTTTATATTCAACAAGCTTTGCATTTCCTCACATGCAGTCCGATAATCCTTTAAATGTTATATTAAATAACTCACTTGGCGGTGAAGTGCTGTCTTTCCTTCTAAAAACACACGTTACATTTTTAGGTGTGGTGAAGGCCATGATATATGATATATATTTTAAGATCATCTTAAAGTGTAAACACCTCATAGACCTTACAGATTTTTCATATCATACTCGCTCTAAAATGTTTCGAATACAAGATGTAGGTCTGATTGTAAATCTCACACGAGGAGCTAAGGATGGGCATTGCACCCAGTGATGCCTTTGAAGTATTTTGTAACCGTGGCCGTCTTGTTTTGTAGATCAGTGTGTGGATAAAGCCAAAGTTGACGAGAGTGAGCAGAAGGCTGCGGAGTACTCCAAAAAGGTGAGACATTAATCACTCCAACAGCCCCCTTTGGTTGGCCGGCTCCCATCAGGAAAGTTTTTTCTTCCTCAGAGCTCCCAGACAAGCTATTGATTTTCCATGCCCTGATCAATACCTGGCTGTGACGCTACATGATCCGTATCAGCATTACAAGAATCGATGCTGATGTTCTGATGTATACTTATTTGTGTGCTGTGGCAGGACAGAGTTAAGTTATGGTCTGGCTCTTTTGATACAGTTCTGCATTTTAAGCAAGCCCTTTGAGGATTTCTCACTTTATCTTATATTTCCTTTCAATGTAGTTAAATTAATTGCATTATTGATTAATAGTATTTTTTATTTATTTTAGAGAATCTAAATTAAAACCTACCAACTTTACCTTCAGCATATTATGTATAATATTGAAATGTATCTTAAGGAGCTTGTATCTTAGCCTCACTATCACTGTCTGATGATACCAAGGGGGTCCTGTGTGTGTGTTTTTCTTAAGAGTCCTGTCCCACCAGTCCACCATGCACCCTGCTGGGCCAGTGAAATCATTGTAGCGACATGGCTTGGTTTCTGCAAAGGTTAGATCCATCAACATACATGAAAGCCAGGCTTGAAACAAAGACAAAGGACAACAGGGCTCTAGGGCCATGAGGGCTATGAATAGAAATCGGCCAGAGAGTGTAAGACAGCGTGTTTTGGTGTCTGTTGATGTGCCCTGTGGCCATTCTCTGGAGATACCCTGCCGCTCACCAACCTGCGTGTGTGTGTGTTTACATCTGTGTTCTTGTGTTTGTTATGTGCACATAGACATACTTGTGTCTCTTTTCTTGCAGTTTGATGAGGAGTTCAGTGCACGGCAGGAGGCCCAGGCCGAGTCTCAAAAGAAGGAAGAGAGAATCAAAGAGTTGGAGGGGAAGATCCAGGCCCTGGAGTCCCAGGTAAATCCAAAAAGAGAAATCCCACTCCTCTGCAAAGCAGTGTTACATTCCCCCAGAGATCTTTTATGATGTATGTTCCTCAAAAAAAAGCATGAAAAAGAAGATAGTGAAAAATCCAATTTCCAGAAGCACTTTTAATCAGCTTGATAAAAGTTTTTAAGTGAAAAACTGTCTTACAGAATGCAGGACAAAAATGTTTGTCTTACAATCATAGCAATGAAATGAAATGGCGCCACTAGAAAAAGGGCTGATTCTTTTCACTGCACTTACAGATGTGCTGCTGATGTAAGTGGGAGTTATCACCCATGCAAGAACATTTGATTTAATAAAGGGTCAATCTCCTTCTTAAGTTGTAGCTCTTTATATGGTTAAATTGCTCTATTGAAGCTTTTCCTATGTAATTCTATCGTCACAGAGATGGATTGCATTTCTTTTCCTGGCCTCCACATCATTTTTCCCAGGCAAAACCCTCCATTTTGAGCACAGAAAATGACTGCTATTTCCCCCTTAACCCAATTTCAAACACTTTAGCACTGCCTTGGGACAAAAGGGCAGTTTGCCTCCTTGCTTAGGGAATTTAATATAAACCAGCATTGAAAGATGGTATACCTAAATCTATATCTGAGATTACTTTCTCTTTCAGACATTCCTTTCTTGTTGCTTATGTTGGCACTCACCATCTGATAAACTACACCTGCATATGTGGTCAAGCATTTTTCTCAGTTGTAACTTACTGTTACCTCAGTCCTCTAGCAGTCATTCTTAGGTCGCCACAAAAAGCTGTTAAGTAGTGCAAGTTTTGGTGGTTGTCAATGTCACACATTGTTTTTTGTCTTTGGAACTTAATTTGTGTGTAGGTCTCACTCTTGCACTTCATATACCTGAGTGCTCTGTCGCCACTTGTTACCTGCATTTGTACGCAAAGGGGTTCATCACTCACTCCATGCCTGATTGCTGCCCACCCATTTTAATGAGATCAAAAAAAGCTCCTCCCCACCTTCTCCACCTGCTCACCCTTTTTCTCCCTTGCTTTCTCCTTCTTCCACTTTCTGTCAGAAATGATGCACCGGGCTGTGTTACCTTTGCTTGGCCTCTTTTCCTTGTTGGAGCTTTTTATGTTGTTTCCAAGTGTTTTCTTTTCTATCATGCACCTTCCCCTCACCCTCCCCTGGCAGGCCTCTGTCTTTTGAAGACTGACTGACTGTGGTGCATTAACAGGTAGTGTAGAGCAGAGAAGCCCTGGAGAGTCAAACCCTCTCTTCCTCTGTTTGTCTGAATGCTCCTTCAGAGAGCAGTTACTGCTGAGGAACTTAGCATCAACAAACATTAACCTCAGCAGGAAAACATGTAATTTGTTTGGAACAAGCTTGCATGAATGTGGCCATAACAGCTTTAGAATATCCCTTATACATTTTGACAGAACATAAGTGCAGTGTATAAAGTATGTGCTTTTTCACAATCAATCACTTAACCGTTGACCAACAATAAGAATTTTGACTGATTAATACTATCAATTAAAAGTCAAAATATACTGGGACATCAGTATCATCTGAGTAGGTGTTCTCTGCAGCGGGTCTCACAGTTAACAGACTGCGCACCAGACTAACCCCATAGCATGTTGACATGTAGCTACTTCTGAATAAAAACCATTAGACAAGTCGTACGTTATGCTGACAACTGAGGTAGACCTGGCCTGTTTATTTTCTTTTGAGGTCTGTAAAATGCAACAGTGCAAGTTTCCGCTTTGTAAACCTGTTGGCTGTTCCTCATCACTTATCAGCTGAGTACGGAGGAGAAGGAAGAGGTTTGTGTTACAGTGCTCTCGGCGCTGGAGGATTCAATGTGTTTTTGTTTTGTTAATTTGTTCATACATTAGAAAGTCTGGCTACTATTTGCTTCATTTTAATAAGTTCTTCAATATTTTCTTACATGTAGGAGAGGCTATTATTATTAGTTTACAGGCACTTGTCTATTCTAAATAGTACATTTTAATCTTGTTGGTTAACGGTTAATGGTCATTTAACGAGCGTCAACTATTGGTCAGAAAAAAAAATGAGCATCACTAGTTCATATTTTGTTTAAATAAAATTTACTATCAATGTGAATTCATTCAATCTGTTAAGGTTTAAGAAACATTAAGTTAATTTTCACCCCACCTCACATATTTAATTTTAATTAGAGTTGATTTCAGGGCTGTCAGGGCTAATGTTTTTTTTTTTCCTCCAAAATATGCATGTTTGGAAATAACAATTTAGAGGTATCTCTTGTTTTTGATTTTAGACAGGTGTTCTCATAGACCATTGAATTGCTACCTCAAGCAATGAACCAAACAACAGTGTCATTCTCTCAGATGGCTGTGCTTCTGCTACTTCAGGAAGACTAGGAAAGAATGTGTTTTGCAACATAATCCTTGTTTGACACAATGCTGTAGAAACCCTTTAAATTGGCACGAGGACATGCATTCCGTTTGTCCATCAAAGCTGCTGTGCTATCACTGCTGTTTTGCTGAATATGAATTAAGAGAGCTAACCCTAACCTTTCATCTGCTAGACTGAATTCCTGTCAGATATTAAAACACATGCATGCCTGAGTCGCTTCTCTTCACCTTGTTTGTGAACCAACACATTTAATGAGAGTCTTTCTCTTGGAACTTTGGCATTGTAACAAGCAGCCTTTTTGATGTGTCTGTTTGATTATCCCCCAATTGAGTTGAGTGGAGGTTCTGCCTGTAAACATCAACAAAGGACACACAAATCACAACAAGTGAAATCATCCACCCTTCCCCAAACCTTTGCTTGCAACCATTCAAAGCAAAAAAGGAAGCTATTCATTGAATTGGCTCTGGATGTGATGAATAATGTAGCACTGCAGTGGTACATTGGAGCACTCTGCGCCATCCCATTAATAGGTTTTAACAACCTGGCGGTCTTGTAGCTGACCCAGCCTTGGCCCCAAGAGGAGCTGTAGTAGACGACTTTCTCTCTCTTTTACTGCCAGGCTGCCTTTAGTCCCGGCTGATTATAGAATTTTACTCAACCGATAATGACAGCAGAACTCACAATGTAGTCACAGTTATTATGTGTGTTTTTCTATTATGACATAGATCCAGCTCAGTTGTCAAGCCAAATTCACTGTCATTCAAATGTCATATGTGTGTATATATATATATACATATATATATATATGTATATATATATATATATACAGACACACACACACAGACACACACACACACACATTTATATATATATATATATATATATATATGCATATATGTATATAATATGTATAACCCTGGAGATGAAAGGTAAAATAAAACTTTGCCTTAAATATTTCACTTTACAACAGTTTCCTAAAATTCTTCAAAATGAAAGTTCTTTTTAAGTCAACCCACTAAAAGTTTCCATCTCCTTTTCCATTATACACATTAAATATTTAGTTCTCTACAGTCCATAGTAAAAGGTGTTCTGTAGGAATGACTCCATAAAAATATTACATTTCAGTTGCAGTGGATTACTCTCCCATCTTCCCTTTTTGGCAAGGTTGCACAGATTGAAATATCAAAGCAAAATGGGTACATTGCTAAAACAAAGACTGCACAGTGAAATCAGTGCCCATCACACATCTAAGACTGTTAAGTTGAAATGTATTTTTCGATGCCAAAAAAGAAAAAAAAAAAGGAAAGTGGAAGAAGGGTTTTGAAGGTGTACCAACTGTCAGTGATGCTGTGCCTTGTTCCTTTCATGCTGCAGTCTGCTCTTCACTGATGTTCTTTTGAAGATAGATTACACCTTGTTTTAGGTGTAAAAGTACAGTACACTTTGCCTTTTGCACATCAAATAACTCATTCAGACAAAATGGGAATATAACACCATTGTCATTAACAGTGTAAGCAACATCCTCTTTCCCCTGTTTGCCTCTTTTCTGCCTTTTAAGTGTTTGGTGTGAGTACTGTACCTGTTGTAGTGTACTAGTGTTCTTTTTCTCTGTCTATCTAACCCACCCCCATTTGTGCCTCTCTGTTGCCCTCTGTGTCTGTTGTGACGTGTGTTACCATGGTATGTTTTGGTGGGACGCGTGCGTGTGTGTGTGTGTGTGTGTGTGTGTGTGTGTGTTGTGTATCTGAACAGTTAACTATTGAAAAAGACAAGCTCAAAGAGGCTCAGAGACTCATCAGGGAATCTGAAGCCAAGGTGGGTGTCCTCTTTGCATGTGTGGCCCTTGACATAATCTCATTTTTAATCACCCACAAATCCATTTTATGTTAAAGGAATTGGATTGTGGTGCTTCAAATCTTTTGTCAGGGAAAAATCTCAAACTGATTATGGAATTGATCTTTTGTAATCTCTCTGCATGTGTTAACGTCTAAATTCAAGTTATATTCCATGTGAACTGATATGCAGTGCTTCACTTGAAAAATAAAATCTCAAACTGAAATACTGTATTTATTTAGTACATATTTACACTAAATTAATACCAGAATTGAATCATTACTTTATCTCTTGAAATTGCTAATCCACAATAACAGATAACATGCTTAAAAAAATGACATATTTAAGACCTTTATTCCATTACAGTAAATAATACAATAGTTGGAAGCCATGTTAAGCTGTATATGGGGTTTTTAGCTACACACATCTCCTGCTTGTTTAATGCAATTTTCATAAGTAAACACTTTGTGATTGAATTTCTCTATCAGAGATGAGATTGAGGCATAGATTTAATCATAGCATTCAGAGTTAATTATCTGCCACGCTGACCTCCCCATTGAGTCCAGAAGACTATGAATCCAATTTGGATGGGTTAGATTTCATATTAGCCTGGTCGTCTACTTACACAGTTTTCCAGATGGGCTCTGCAAAAGTAACATCAGCCAAAAAGCATCTAAGAGACACAATATTAAAACATGTTGGATACATATATATATATATATATATATATATATATATATATATATGCTGTAAACTGTATTTAGTTAAAACAGTATTTGTGTTCTTCCTATATGTCTATATAGAGACATATTTTTATCACACATTATCATAGCAACTTTCATATTGTATTTATGCCACATGTATGATACGAGTTTGTTTTGTATGTAATGTACATGTTGCATTCAAAACATGTGCGGAGTACCTATATACAATGCAAAACATAGTCTGAGTCTGAAGTTGTCCCGTAAGTGTAAAATGGCCATTATCATTTAAGGCAATGTACACATTTATTATATTTATATGTACTTTACCCCTTATGGATCTCTTTTTGTTTGGATGTTTGTTTTCATATCTGAAGAAGATGCCAGTGGCAATGGTACTGGATCCCAAGGGTTCTATAGACACTGATGTTATTATTGGGCAGATCAGAGAGAGAGAGAGAGAGAGAGAAACTCTGATGGCCTCTCAGTATGGAAACAACTGTGCTCTAATTTAGCAGCTAATTTGCTTCCATTCCGTCACATTAATCTTAAAAGAGAAAATGGGCCACGCGGGCTCGAGATTGACAGACATGTAATCATTGGATGTGGATTTTCACTGAAGGGCTCTGGGTGATCTGTGTAAGATGCTCCTCGCAGAACACCTTTTTAATTTCAGCCCTAATAAACAATCCACCAATGCCATTATATAATGAAACACTATGTAATGTCTTTAAATATGAAGCCAATCACATTTTACGCACACAATCAAGTGACTGGGGAAATGTGCATAGAGGGGAATTGGTTTTGGAAATTAGATGTGCAAGAGGAAATGCTTTTTGGTAAGAACTCGCACCTAATCAGCTCTGAAGATCAAACCCTGTCTAAGTTTGGGTTTCTGTAATTGTTGTATTTGCATATTTTTTTAAAACATTTTTCATTGGCATTATCACTGTCACAGACTACCTGTGTATGTGGTAGGTGTGATAGGTCAGACATGTCAAAGGAGTGAAAGACTTTGTCTTATCGGTCTTGGGTCTAATTACACCCCTGTCTACTGTTTAATAGCCTGCCATTGTGAGAACACATTGTGACACATTCTTATCTTTTACAAATTAAAACAGTAGTCGTTTAAAGGTTTTTCTCCAAAGTTTTTCTTTGTATTTATTCACATACATATCTGCAGGGATTAATTAATACATACATTAACTTTTTGGCTGATTCAGAACTCTGTATTGGAAGCAGAAGTTAGTTTTGTTAGTTGAATTCCAGTTTTGTTATTATAAAATGGGATGAAATGATTGTGTTTAACGCCACTCGTGTAAATATGGGTAAATATATAAGTTTAAACAAACTGCTAATCTTGTTTTTTTGTGGCTATATATTTGATAATTACTAATTTCTCTGCTGACAATGATGATTTCAATACAGTTTTTGCAACGTGTTTCTTTTAAAAAGAGAAATAAATGGACAAATCCCTGTTATGATCACATTTAAAAAAAATCTCTATGACATGATGTGAATATTAAATGAGGTAAGTGTTTCATAAGCCACACAAATCATTGTCTTGTATACTGTATACTGTACACAATCATTATGTCAACTCCCATGACCATATCAGATATATCAAATATCAATTAAATCTGCTTAAGGGAGTAATTGCTTTTTACAGTCACCAAGAGTTTCCTGTTTCATGCAAGTGTATTTCATTTTTTCGTCTGAAGTTGAATGAGTCTATAATACACACGACTGCCTTCCTCACTGAAACTCGGATGCCTTGTGAATATGTATGTGGATACACAACGATACAAAGAACCCAATTATGCAACTATTTACATATTATTTGCAATATATCCCAAATTATAATTGAACAGTTTTGACAACTGATATATTTTCCTGTCAGATATTTCTATAAATACCAGAGAATATAGAAAACCTGATTCAGCGTTCAAAAATTTAAGTCTACTAGGTTTAAGTTCAACTTTATAAATTCTTTATACCTTCGTTTCTTAGCCTTATTCTAAGATAAAAATAAGCATTTTTCCCTGATCAATTTACACTCTATACCCCATGGTGACAAAGTGGAAATAGAATTTTTGAAATTTTTGCTAATTTATTCAAACTTAAAACTGAAATGCCACATTGACATAAGTATTCAGACCCTTTACTCAATACTCAGTTGAAACACCTTTGGCAGCGATTACAACCTCAAGTCTTCTTGGGTGTGAGGCAACAAGCTTTGCACATCTGGATTTGGGGATTTTCTTCTTCTCTGCACATCCTCTTGTCCTCTGTCAGGTTGGATGCAGACTTTCTGTGGACAGCCATTTTCAGGTCTTTCCAGAGATGTTCGATCAGGTTCAAGTCAGGGCTCTGGCTGGGCCAAGGACATTCACAGAGTTGTCCCTAAGCCACTCCTGTGTTGTCCTGGCTGTGTGCTTATGGACAGTGTCCTGTTGGAAGGTGAATCTTTGGTCAAGTCTGAGGTCCTGAAAGCTCTGGATCAGGTTTCCATTAAGAATATCTCTGTACTTTGCTCCATTCAGCTTTTCCTCAACCCTGACCAGTCTCCCCTGAAAAGCACGCTCACAGCATGATGCTGCCACCACCGCGCTTCACGGTTGGGATGGTATTGAGCAGGTGATGAGCGGGGCCTGCTCTCTCGATATAACACTTAGAACTGGGGCCAAACAGTTTAATCTTGGTTTCATTAGACCAGAGAATCTTGTTTCTCTCAGTCTGGGAGTCCTTTAGGTGCCTTTTTGCAAACTCCGAGCAGGCTTTCATGCTCCTGTCTGGCCACTCAGCTGAGATTGGTGGAGTGCTGCAGTGATGATTGTCCTTTTGGAAGTTTTTTCCATCTCCACACGGGATATCTGGAGCTCAGCCAGAGTGACCATTAGGTTCTTGGTCACCTATCATACCAAGGCCCTTCTTCCACGATTGCTCACTTAGGCTTAGGCCAATATGCTTTTGGGAACCTTCAATACAGTAGAGGTGTTTTTGTAGCCTCCCCCCAGGCACTTGAGCTTCATTTCAAGTGTCATAGCAAAGGGTCTGAATACTTATGTCAATGTGATATTACAGTTTTTCCTAAAATTTTGTTTTCACTTCATCATTATGGGGTATTGGGGGGTATTTTTTTGTCAACATGAGGCTGCAACATGTGAAATGTGAAAGCATTGTGCCTGCAAATGTGAAAACATTGAAGGGGTCTGAACACTTTCTGAATGCACTGTTTATATGGTTGGAAGGAAAATGTTATCTACCGTCCTACTTTTCTTGCTTAAAGCACTCAAAGCAAATCAAGTGAGCTTGACAAGCATACCCACAAAAATGGTTAGGAAACTTGTGATTGTTATCTCTTTGCGTAGTCAAGTTATGACAGAAAGACAGACAAAAAAAGGACATAACCTCCTCATTTGGTCTGAATTTGGAAGCAACACTTGCACAGAACCTTCTAATCCTTGACATAAAATACTGCAGTATTTTGGTACTTACACACACTACCTGTTCTCTGCTCACAATCAAAGCTAGTGTCACATAACTGAAAAGCCAAAGTGGTGCAGGCAGTACAACATTGTTTTTCACAGCACACAAGGCCTCTTCTCTGGCTCGTAGCAAAGAAATACACCTCATGGCTTTTGCTTATTAGTTACATCAGATTGAGGTTTGGTTTAAGCCACCACTTGAGTTGTGGACCATCATTAACATTTCTACCCTGTATTTGCAGATTGCAGCGGGTCCAACTGCACCCGGAGCACCACCTCCACCACCCCTACCAGGGGGTGCAGCAGCTCCACCTCCTCCTCCGCCGCCTCCTCCCCCACCTCCACCTGGTGGCGGTCCTCCTCCACCTCCACCTCCTCCTCCTCTTCCTGGCCAAGCTTGCATTCCACCACCGCCTCCACCTCCTCCAGGTGGAGGGCCTCCACCTCCCCCACCACCCCCTGGTTGTGGGCCCCCACCTCCTCCACCTTTTTTTGGGGGCCCAGGTGGGCCTCCACCACCTCCTGCATTACCTGTCATTAAGCTGCCTTATGGGCTGGAGCCCAAGAAGACCTATAAGCCTGAAACTGTAATGAAGAGGGTCAACTGGACCAAGGTATTGTAACCCCAGCTTTGGTTCACTATAACAAATATTCTCATATTCAATAATAATATTGGTGATTTGACACTGTAAGGGAAATAACATTCCACTGTTATTTCACATGAAATATTATGCAGTATTTTCCTAGTCAGACATGCAAACACATGCGAGCGCTGGCTTGAGAGGTTTCTTGGAGTACACAATACGTAGATGCAAAGTTGAAGATCCAAACCAAAAGGAGCTCTATTCAAATGCACTCTTAATCTAGTCAAACAACCGTTCAGCCACAGGCCACACTCTTCCACACTCAGCACCCATTTCAAAGGATTCAAGAGTAAACAATTTTCACTGCTTAAATGTCCTTGGATTTGCACATTCTTAGCATAATTGAATGAAGACTGGGTTGTGTAACGTTCCATCACATTTGAATACAATTTCAATAGGACATTCTCTTGCGTGTGGGCTCTATTTTACCATAGATAATTTATCCATCGCCTCAGGAGTTCTTAGCATTAATTTAATGGTTCTTTGCTGATGCTTGTGTGACCTTGCGTTTTAGTCTTCAATTACTGACAGCAACCAAAACATCAGACCAGTTCTTTTGACATCATGTTAGTGGTACACATTTAATGGTTTTAGTGGAATCACGCCATGTATTAAAAAGGAATTTTGAATGTGATTTTTCAGTGTGTTGAGGGCCATTGTAGTTATCTCTTCACATTTCTAAAGCACAAGTAAACAAATAGGGTATATATTGCTTTCTACAATATGTTATTTATTTAACAGCAGGTCACCAAATGACAGACATAAATGAAAGAAGGAAATGTGAAAATGCAAGTCAACATTGACTGTTGCATTGTAAACATCGTGTTACAGGTTGAATTTTGTCACTCTTTAAAGAACTCTTTAAAATGCCATGTATGCTAGCATCATTCTATATTGGACTTTCCTGAGCAGTAAAATAGTGTAATTACAGCAGTATTGAATACCACACCCATTGTGCAAAAAGTAAGACAAACGACGTTTGTTTGTATCTTAATACCAGGTGGGGCTGTATGTGTGTTTGTGCTTTGATATTTTAAATATTATGACTCATTGTCATGTGCATTGCCTATGTGGATTTGCATATATGATTTGTGTGTATGCAGTCTGGTGCACAATTTCTGGAAATGTACAGAAACAGGTTAATTTGCAGGTGCCTTAACCTTGCCTCCACAGGAGTTGTAGTTTGGTGATGCAAATGAAATTCATAACCACTTGAGGAAAAAACAGTCTGTGTCTCTTGTGTCGATTAAGTGGGACAAGAGTCGTCTGTGGTCTCTCTGTGCAGCAGATGGAAATATAGGAGTGCCAGAAGCAACTATGATTTGGTTGTATAAAAGAGGAAGGAGAGAGAAAAGATACTTTTCCTGCATCCCATCTATCCACTAGCCATACAAGTCTGACAAGAGCAAGGACTACATAGATTTGATACTGGCAAAAGAAGACCTTTATATTGCTGCCATCAAAAAAACTACTCTAGAACACCCTAGAGTTTTACATGAAAGTATGTGGGTAGATGAAAGTCCATGACTTGTTGCACCATGTGTACATAGATGATCTTCAATCGCATATCTACAAACATAAATTCTGGCATACATACTAGTGTAGGTAAAGTAACATTTGCTTTTAGTGGAGACAGTTTTTAAAATATGGAAAAGTGGAACTATTGACATTTTCAGTTACAGTACCAGTCCCACATTCAAGCAAGGCATGTGGTGGCAGCGCCTTCTTGGTCAGAAGCAGTAGTACAAGACACTCACATGGGACGAGTCAGTAAAATGTCAGCTTTGTTTTAAGTGCTAAGTACATATTAAATTAGCTTGAATCATAGTTTTCACTCAGCATTACTTCTATATTTGTGTTGTTGAGTCTTACAGAAACTTATTAGTGAAGATTAGGTAAAGGACTGTGTGAATGCCAAAATAAACAAGACACACATACGATTTTGTTGTAGCTACCATTTTGTCCATTTAATTTAGTATTTTAAAAACAGAAATAATGGAAACTCGTTAAAATTTGATTATTACAAAACATTACATTCCATATGAAAAAAACTTGATGTAATCTTACTATGCTAATTAAAAATATCTGTAAACGTGGGAAAGGTAGAAAAAAAAAGGCAACATGGATTCAGTGGGATGAATGAAATAACTTCTGTCATACAGTGCACCATGAAACAGGCTTATGTTAAGTTAATTAGCTCAAGTTGTGCCAGATACCTTAACTCAAACATAGAGATACCATCTTTATTCTGGTCAGGCCCAGCAGAACTTAACTGAAAAATTAGAGTTGGAACAGCTAAATGGAAACACCCTGTATTTCTGAGCATGGGGTAAAACTGATTTACTGGTTCACTAATCACCTAAGTTAGTAATGTGTCAATATTCTTAATAAGACCATTATTTGATAATCAGATATTTTAGACTCACAAATTACAACAGTGGTGCAGTACTTCATTCTATGAATTTAGCAAAACCTTCAGCCACAACATTCTCATTCATCATGTTGAAAACTGGGTTGGTCTCTTTGAAACTGTTCTTAATTTGTTAGTCAGCTGTGGGGAAACTCCTGACATATCTTGTGGTGTAACCCAGGGCAGCTGTCTCAACCCCCTTCTTTTCTCATTATAGGTTTTTTTGTTTTTCTTTTCTTCTTTTGGTGACGGGGCAGTATCATTAGCTACTATCAAGTAAGGAAGCTGTGATGTATTATATATATTAGAATCAGATTAGAATCAGATAATTCACACACAATAGTTTCCCCTACCATACAAATTCTTTAATCATGTTTGTGGATATCTTGAATTTCTGTGATCAAATGGTCTTAATCCTTAGGTTTATAGTTTCTAAGAGTGCTATATTTGCCTGGAATTTAGCGCCTGCCTTGAGAGGACTGTGACTACCAGGCACATTGTATTGCGTCATTATCTCAGGATTGAGAAGGATAATATTAATGTTTGCATTTGTGAAAATCACATTAAACATTTATTGTGTTTCTAGGCTGACAGGCTTTTTCATTAGAGGACCAGTTTTACTAACATTTTCTTGTCATGACAAGTTTTATCAGTTTTAGATGATATATTAGCTGGCCTTTCATGAGTAAGGTAAAATGCAGAAGTGTTAGGTTTTTTTTGTTGTTTTTTTTTCCTTTTTGCCTGCCTTGCTTTCCCAGTTAATACTAATAATATCACCAATTAATTAGCCATGTTTTAATGGGAAAAAAACAAACAAAAGTGCAGGTTTGGATTGTCTACAGACACACTCTTTCCTGTCCTTCTTGCCACTAGCATGTTCTACAATTTTACAGTGTTTATTATAAATGTCATTTGTCATTTAAATAATTTCTATACACTATGTTTTTTTATATGCTTTAGAGGAGAGAGCGTTCCTACATAGAACAACATAGATTATAGATATAAATAAACATTTCAAGTAAATTAAGAATTTATTTTCTTTACAGATAAACATAATTGAATTAATAGTACATAACCCAAGTTTAAAATGAGTAATTTAATGGCATATTTCAGGTCAGCAGGCAGTTTGTACCATTTGTAGGAAATGATACAAATAAGAGCCAGTTCAGGTATGAAGAGCTCATAACAAATGACCTTGTCAGAGATGCATGGAAGTGCCTTTCTGTAAGCAAAATATTATATATTATGAAAATAAAAGGGAGTTAATTAGGACTTTTTAATTGGGACTGCTATTACACGAGCTGTTGCTCGATTTGCTGCATCCATCATTTATTATTATTATTGTTATGTCGGTAGTGGTATTAGTAAAACTGAAATATCTAGACAATGAATCATTACACCATTGAACTTCTGGCTACATTAGCTGTTTTGCCATTTTCTCTGAATTAGTCTATCACAGATATGACATAGACTGCTGTCTAGGACTTTGAGCAGGTTCTAGAGCAAATAAGAGTACAAAGGCACTCTGCTATCAACACTTAAAACCAACACCAGCTCATGTCGAACGTTCTGTAAGCCTCCCAACCTATAAAACACCTATTGTTGCCATTACAGGACTCAGCTACACTGTCACACTTATCACCATTAGTACATGGCCTTGAGCATGATTTCCCAGAGTCACCTGGAAGTATCTGTCCATGTTTCATAAGAGTCGTGCTTGCACCTTTTTCTGTATGTAATTACTGTGGTTTTGAGCAGGTTAACATCAGTGGTGCAATAGGCCAGCTGTTCATCCAGACCCTCAATAAAAAGCAACACTAAGACCTCTCACCATTAGCACTTAACACAATGTATAGAAGATGAAGTGTAGTGTCACACACATTAGCTAGTAATAACTGCAATATGTTGGATGGGTTTGTTTATGTGTGAATCTCTGTATACTCCTACTTTCTCTCTTGTCTACTGAGCAGTACGGAGGGAATGAAAGAGGAGGAGTAGAAAACATCCCTGTGGCCTGCCATCATCTCAGCATGTGTAGGTGCTTGGTTGCTTCTTAGAGGCTTTCAGGCAAATCTAGGTAGGAGGACTGTATAAACAGAGTTTCTTAGATTTTGTGCTGCAAACTGAAATTCAGATATTTCATTCATCCCAGGAGAGGTCAAGCTTTGATGTGTCTGGTTCAATCAGGGTCTATCCAGACATCATCATTTAGCGTGGTCATATTCTTGTGATTTGTCATCACATGAAAGAATGTATTTAACACTGAAGACCCCCCCTTTTGCTTTTTTGATCTTTTTTGCTCGTCTTGTTTGGCACTCAGATGCTAAGGATGCACACACAAGGGCATGTGTGTGTCCACACACTGGAAAAACACACACAAACCCCATCTCCAGTGAGAAGAACTTTTTGAGTGGCAGGTTGGAGGAATGGCGGTCTCTGATTGTAGTGATAATGGAAACCTTGTGTCATTGCAGATAGTGCCTCAGGAAATGGCAGAGAATTGCTTCTGGATCAAAGTCAAAGAAGAGAAGTTTGAGAATCCTGACCTATTTGCTCAGCTCTCCCTCTGCTTCTCCTCACAGAGCAAAGGTAAGGAGGCGTCATCTCTCTTCACCCCTTCCTTAATTAATCTACACACACGCTTCATTTAGCCTCTTTGGCAATAGATGCCAAGCCACTTTCATCTTGTGACACTTAAGAAACCATTTTTCTCACTGAAATGTTAATTATCTTAAAACCAAGCACTCTCCCCCCTGCATTTGAACACCATGTGTGTATGCCCTCAGTTCAAATCTCTGTGCCAATTAGGCATACCAGTGCTCTTATTGCAGTGTGTTTATGTGTTCGCATCTTTGAGAAACCTAGAAATACAATATGGCTGCACATTGTATTTGTTCTTTGTACCCATTGAGTAGTTTCACATCAGTGTTTTAGTGTGTGCATGTGGATGTGCACAAACTTGAACTTGTGTGTACTGTATATGTGTGAACTGAGAGCAGTTATGCTTGGTTTGCTTCTTGCCTTTTCCAGTCCAGTAGACCAATCCTCCATCGGGGAAGATGGGAGGCTTTTGTGAAGGAAGCTATGGGAGTTTTCTTGTCCCGGCCAGTTTGTTTCTCAGATACACAACCAGGCTACCTAACTTGCTGATGAATAACACAAGCAGTACAGAGCAAGTTTGTTTTTGTATGGAAGAGGGTTTGTGAAGGCACTTGATGTATTCCTCCCATGACAATTTGAGTGTTTTCCACCTCTTTGACAGTGTGTGTGTATATGTGTGTGTAGTACACCCCTCTAATTCTAGCAGCAGTGGGAGGGGAGAAGTCAGAGACCTGTCAACCGCAGAACAGTCAAATCTGAGCTCTGTCAGGGTGTGTGGACATAACTATACAGAATCTTCCAACTTTTCCCATATACCCACCGCCTGTTTGGACACCACTCAACCCGCCAGCGGCTTCTTGCTCCGATGTTCTCACAGCCTCCAGGTCTACAAACTAGGCTCATCTCTTTTTTGTTATGTGAAATAAATAGCAATTTTCCCTTGGCTGCTGAAAGGGGATTTGCTGGTGTAATACAGATGGAAGGAAATTGTGGATAGGAAAGAACAGTTGTTGCAAGGCTTAATGAAGTCGCAGGGAAAGGCCAGGCAGTCATGCCACGTTCCTCATCTATCACCAGAGGATGTCAGTCAGACACTCTATTTTTTAACACATGCTCTGACATTTCTGAAGTAATTGATGGTCAAACCTTTTTTGACAGCTTTGCAATGTCTATGTCTAATTGTTGGAATTCACATTGTGCTCTTTTTATTTGATTCATAAATTGTTATTTAAGATGATGAATTTAACATTTCATAATAATAAATCAGAAATGTGTTTGCAGAGCACAGCTGCTATGAAATGCATTTGCAGAACAAGTCTTAAAATGAAATACAACTTAACATTTGGAGTTCCACAGCCACATGGCTCCAGCTTTAAATGTCCTTTTAAATTCTTTATTGAATTCATTTTCTCACCCACTGGGGTCGAAAAAAAAGTTCTATAGATAGTCCATGTTCCCGCTGGCCGGGTAGGAATTCATGATCCAGCATTTCCCCTGGGAGTTACCTTTGCTGGATCCCTATCAATTACCCCTGCAGCGACTTCACTGAATCAGCTCTTTTCCCTCTATTGTTGAAACAGAACATGATTTGCTCATGAATGAAAAATGCTGTTTAATGTTTGATATGTACCCCCGCCCAACGAGGAGGGCTTTGATGTAGATGGTGTTGCAAAAAATGTGCTCGATGGGATCTTCCTAAAACGATATAGTAATTCATTTGTTTTTATCTTTCATCTGTTCATGCAGTATAGTTTTTTCAAATCCTTGCCATCTGAGGATATATAAAAATAAGTGTGCTTGAACATTAAACATTTTGTCTAAAAGATCGCGCTTTATTTCCACTTTGAATTTGACCTATTTGGATAGAGAGTTTTCTTTCATCTCAAGTCAGGCTTTTTAAACGTTATTGGTGTGGTTTAAAGCGGTGTTGGGGGTTCAGGTGGAGAAGCCAAGACTTGCAAGATTAATTCCTGAGGTCTTGTACTCTTATTGTAACCTCTCATTGTAACCACGGACCATAAATCCTTTGTGCTGATTTGACAAACAAGTCACTGGTGAAAACCGACTTCATTTGTCTGGGATATTGCAACAGTTTTTTTTTTTAAACACACACACACACACACACACACACACACACACACACACACACACACACACACACACACACACACTTGTTGGGTTTTTCTTTTGCTTCTTTGTGTTACCTCCATCTCTGCCACATCTTAGACGTGGATATTTATAAGTAAAGCACACTTTGGGGGACTAGTGTATCGTAAAAGATGAGGCAAGCAGGTGTAAATGCTTTCCCTGCAGAGCTGCCCTCAGAAAATGGTGCAAAAAGGCTTCTATTAACTCCACATTCCTTGGGATTCTTGCTTGTTGCTTGCATTGTTGAAGAACAACACTTTGGCAGTAAAAGAAAAAAAAAAGAATCACTAACAGCCCCCAATTTTCACATGGTTATTGCGCTCAGAGGCCTCTAAAACAACTGAGAATGCAAGACTGTCATCTCCCCTGCTGCTTTTATGAGTCTCACTGTTTAATGAGTTTTACCAAGAAAAGGAAATGATAATCAAGAGGGATTTCAAGCTTGGCTTCAATCTTCTAAATGTGTTTTTTTTTCTTTGTCATTTATTATGAGATGGATCTTTGGCCTGATTGAAAACTTAATACATTTGCCAGTTCTTAGGTACTCTGAAGGTCATGGACAGATTAAGTAATTCTACGGTCAACATAAAATGGTTTCTTTCTACAGGGTAACCATATGTTTCAGGAAAATACCCAATTCAAACTTGATATCACAAATCACATAACAAACAAATGTAGTTTAAAAACACTGTATTGCAGTGTACCAAGGCCACAATTAATAATTAAAAGTCCTCATTAATAAGGGGCACCACTCCTCGTGATTTTGAGGAGAACTTTAATAAGTGAATATGATTAATATGATCATTCTAATATCAGAAGCAGTGACTTCTCGATTCAATGGATCTCCAGTCTCTACTTCAAAGGAACACAACAGGACAATGACTAAGTTCAAATAAAGAGATTTATTAACTCTCTACAGGGTAAAGGCAATGTCTAATAACCATCAAGATGAAAATTGGGGCAGAAGAACAGGTTTAAGAAATGGCTGATAAAATGAGCTGCGTACTGCGTGGGCAATGGTGGTAGAGAATATGTTGCGGCTATTTACACTATAATACCAATGATACTATGTTTACAAATAAGATCTGATGATTAAATATCATATTTCGGCATCAATCCAGTCACGAGCAGAATGTTAAGACCTTGCCTACTGTGGGTTGCGCTGGAGACCCTTGGCTGAATCCCAAGCTGCTGACATTGCAGTTGGTGATTGGTTGATCGGCAGTGATGGCCAGTACTGCCTGTTTTCTCCTGGCTTCCAGCTCAACTCCTCCCACCTGTTCCCGATACAACAAGAGATTTTTTCCGCTGGCTCCCCAGCCTGTGAGCAGCTGTCGTCGTCTAAGTCCTGCTATTCCCAGAGCTGTGAGCATCTTCCACACAGACTGTGCTGGGAAACCCCTACAGCCATTCTCAACTCAAGATAGCCAGGCCTACCACCCTTTGTCCCTGCATCGTTAGTCCAGGTACTGGTACTTGGTGGCCCTCCTCTCCGAGGCTTCTTCGCATCCATCTTCCCACGGTGAAGTCAGTTCAATCAGAATGATCCTCTTCACCTCCTCAGATCATATGACTGTCAGACTGCCTCCCACGACTGTGCCAGCTGCAGGAGGCTCTTCTTTTAGGAGGGCGGCTTCTCCCCCTCCCTGATGAACTGGATGGATAAAGCTAGTCTCATGTGGGTCTGATGCTTTTTATGTCTCTCTTGCTCCAAGATGTCCGCCAGTGCCCTGTGGACCTTGTCATGATGCTATCTGTATCTCCCCTGGCTAAGTACAGTCACCCCAAAATGTGTGCCAATATTCCTCTCTCTCCACATAACTTGCACAGTGAGTCCTCCCTCATTCTCCACCTGCGCATGTTTGTCGGTGTTGGAAGAGTGTCGTACACTAATTGGAGCAGGAAGAGATACATATGGACTCCAAAGTTCAGGTCATTTGATCTTCTGCTTTGACTGGTCCCACTTTGTCTGGGCTCTTTGTGATCCAAGTTCCTCGGCCCTTGACCTTCATTGCTGGAGTCTCTGTACATCTTCTCAACCCTGCACTTTGCCACTTTGAACTTTTCGACAACTGATGAGAGGGGTAGTTGTAACTTTTCAGACCTGATGTATAGTCCTGGAAAACTGGAAAAATACAGTGCTAAGGTCAGTGACCTCTCAAGGTCACCAGAGGTCAGATACAAATGTAGATTATATGATGAAACTTTCATGCTTTAGTCATAAAATGCACAATTGTTTTGCCTATCTGCCCCACTACCCCTTGGACCTGGAGCTGGAACTTGCTGGTCATTTTCCCATTTCTGATCACCATGCTTCTTGACGTCCCTCATTTGAATTTAATTTTCATTTATGTTGCCAAGTCATCAAGTGCCTTCAGGATCCACCTTGCTTGTATATGGGATGAAGCCGTTACGGTTAGGTCATCCATGAAACCTTTGACTGGAGGTTGGTGGGTGCCAGACTCCATTATCAGCCCTCTGGATTCATCCCTGCCACTGTTATGTGCATATTCCTTCTGATAAACAAGATGGGGGAGATAATGCAGCCCGTTATGATTCCCTTTTCCAGGTCCTGCCTCAGGGTTGTGAAATGGGCAGTCTTGAACCGTAACTTGAATCCTCCAAGATGGCTGGTGATTATTCCCTTATGTGGTGGGGGATATGGTAGTGTTCCAGCGTTTGTTGTTTCAAGCCAGACAACTGTTCAACAGTCAGGAGAGAAATGGTTTGGAACTGGCTAATCTCAGAGGAGTCTGTTTCCTTCGATACAAAACAATTCTATGCTCTTTTGCAAGATGATGGGATGATGCCTTTTGTCCATACTGTCCGAGAAAGTTCCC